CAGGCGGATCTCTGTGAGTTCGAGGCCAGCCTGGGCTACCAAGTGAGTTCCAGGAAAGGCACAAAACTACACAGAGAAACCCTGTCTCCAAAAACAAAAACAAAAACAAAAAATTATTATTGGGCTCAGTAGTTAAGAGCACTGGCTATTCTTCCAGAGAGTCAAGGTTTGATTTCCAGCACCTACCTGGTAGTTAACAACTATGTGTAACTCCAGTTTCAAGTGACTGATACTCTCTTCCGGCTCCTTTGGGCACCAGGCATGTACAAGGTACACAGACACACATGCAGGCAAAACAACCAAACACACACACATACAAAATACATTACAGATTTGATTCTTGTGTGTATATGTGCATGATGTATACACTGGAGAAAATGCCACAGTGGACATGTGGAGGTCAGAGGACAACTCTGTGGAGCTGGTTCTCCCATTCACCTTACATGGGTTCTGGGAATCAGATCAGGTCACAGCATCTCATTGTGGCTGGCCTAGAACACAGAGATTTCTCCTGACTTTGCCTCCTGAGGGCCACCACGCCCGGCTGAGAATTACCATTTAAACACTTAAGAAATGACAGACAGCTGATGGTGGTGCATGTTTGCAATTTCAGCACTTTGGAGGCTGAGGTAGGAAAAGTACTGAAAGACTGAGTCTAGCCTGGTCTACATCGTGAGTTCCAGGTGAGCCAGGGCTACATAGTAAGACCCTGGCTGAAAAGCATCTTAAGTTTGGTGGGTTTTTTGTTTTGAGATGGTCTCACAATGTAGCCTTGGCTGTCCTGGAATGCAGACCAGGTTGGCCTGGACTCACAGAGATCCACTGGCCTCTGCTTCCTGAATGCTGTGATTAAAGGTGTATGCCACCACACCCAGCCACAAGAACTATCTCAAAAACAAAATCAACCAAATGAAACACACATGCCCGCACCCACCCACCCATGCTATTCCATTCTCAGAAGGAGAGGTAGGATGAATTTGTATGCCAGGTTAGCGCGGGCTGTACACAGCAGGTCCTGTCAAAAAACTGAGGGAAGAGGCTAGAGATGGCTGTTTAAAGAGCATGTATTGCTATTGCAGAGGACCCGGGTTCAAATCCATCATTCATATGGTGCGCGCAACCATCTATAAGTCCAGTTCCAGAGGATCCAACACCCTCTTCTAACCTCCACAGGCACCAGGCATTCATGTGGTACACACATTTACATGCAAACAAAACATTCATACACATAAAATAAAAATAATCCTGAGGCTAACCAAAATACTATTAGAAGACAAGATGAGCCAGGTGGCAAAAGGCAAGTGGTTCTCTGTGCATTTCAGGCCAACTGGTCTACACAGTGAGTTCTGTAGTAAGGCCACACTGAGACCCTGTCTTAAAAAAAACCCAAAAACCCCAAACCCAAACCCAACCAAAAAAAAAAAGATAAGAGGAAGCGACTCAGCTGCCCGACACCCCGCTCGCGACACCTTGGTGGCGTACTGGCGGCAGGCTGGACTCAGCTACATCCGGTTCTCCCAGATCTGTGCAAAAGCAGTGAGGGATGCCCTGAAGACTGAGTTCAAAGCAAATGCTGAGAAGACTTCTGGCAGCAGCGTAAAGATCGTGAAAGTGAAGAAGGAGCAGCCGGCCCTGACTGAAGCATGAACTGCTGAATCGTCAAGGTGAAGACATGTGGGTACCTATTATAGCAGATTGAAATCAACCTCACCTCCTGGGGACAAAACTACCCTTGTTGATAAATTGACTATGCCAATAAATTAACATGGTTTCCTCTGAGGCATAAGAATCCCTCTGAGTCCTAGGATCACAGATAACCCTGAGCAACACAGCAAGATCCTGCCTAGAAACACACCCAAACCAAACCATAAAATGAGCACTTACAGTTGAAGAGAGATACCATCTGTGAGGATAGTAACTCTGGGAGCAACTTGGAGTATTAATTTCTGGCTTGAAAATGGGGTTCATGTCTTTGTCATATTTAAAATGTGCTTTAAATTTCCTATGATTACCAACATAAAAAGCTTACCATCATCTGTGGAATTGATGCATAGTTTTGAACTCCCAGAACTTGGCTGAGAAAATTCTGTGCACAATTTTTTCCAACCCAAAGCATCAGTACCTGCAAACAAGAATATGCTGTTTTGAGAGGCAGCCTAAGAGTGAGTCTGGCACCTTTACCACTGGTTATGTTTAAAAAGTCTAAAGGATAAGCATGCTTAGTGAGACGTACAGAGAACTACTATACATCGAGAAACTGGAGGCTGCAGGGAGAATGGCCAATGCTAACCTACAGATTAAAGGCAGCTGAAGCCAAGTGCTAAGGAGGCTCAGTAGCACATTGAGCTCATCAGGCTGAGTAAATCTACTCACCGAGCCTGCATCCATGAGGAAAGCTCCATCTCTGCTCAACTTCTCCACCGAGAGCTGAAGAATGGGGGGCTGAGGTATGGTTCTGTCATTGATATTGAGAGCTCCCTGAAGAAGGAAGCAAAGAGTGAGGTTTATAGATACAGGTAACACAGAGACACAATATATATATTTGCATATGTACATGTATATGGCATGTGTTCACATGTGCCCAGGTACATGGGCATATATGTGTGTGCCTGTGTACACGCTCACAATTGGTGTTGGATGACTTTTACTTTATTAAGGCAGTCTTTTGCTTAACCTGGAGCTCACCAATTCCAGATAACTAGCTAGCCAGCTTGTTCCAAGGATCTGCTGCCTGTCTTCAGAGTGATGGAATTACAGCTGGCTCCCATGCCTGCTTTTTGTTTTTTATGCATGCCCTGCTTTTTATGTGGGTTCTGTAATCTGGTCCTCATGCTTCCACACTAAGCATTTTATCCTTTAAGTCAAACCTTCAGCCTTAGTGCTTTTTGGAGAAAAGGTCTGATATAGCCCAGGCTGGCCTCATACTTCTTATATAGCTAAAGATGATCTTGAACTTCTGATTGTCCTGCCTCCTTCTCTTAAATTTTGAAATTACTGGCATGTGATACCATGCCCAGCTCTTTAGAGCTATAGTTAAATGACAAATATAATTAAATGAATTTGACTTCTCAGAGCTTAGACTTTAAGTAGATGAATCAATTATCCATGGCAAAGATGGAGTAATATGTATATTAAAGCCACTGTGACTCTTAAAAGCTGAAATCAAATTCTGATCCTCTTTATTTCTTGTGTGTAGCCAGAAGTTACTGGCAGGTGTCTTTTCCGTTACTCTCCACCTTATTCTTTGAGACCAGCTCTCAATGAACCCAGAGTCAACCCAATGTTGACTCAGTTAGCTGGCTGGCCAGCACTTTCCAGGGATCCTCCTGCCTGTGTCCCAGTGCTGGGGTTACAGACCCATGCTGTCCTCTTCTGCTTTCACACCAGTGCTGGGGAACTACCTCAGGTCCTCACACTTGGGCAGCAAGCACCTTCCCAGCAAATCATCTCTCCAGTCTAGTCCCACCTTTTGTTGTTTTTATAGTTTTTTTTTTTTTTATGTGCACTGGTGTTTTGTCTGCATGCATGTCTGTGTGAGGGGGTCAGAAGCACTAGAACTGGACTTACAGACAGTTGTGAGCTGCCATGTGGGAGCTGGGAATTGAACCTGGGTCCTCTGGAAGAGCAGCCAGTGCTCTTAAGTTGCTGAGCCATCTCTCTAGACCCCCTTTTTTGTTTTTTGACCAGACTGTTAAGTCCAAGCTGGCTGCCAGCTTTCTATGTAGCTAAAGGTAACCTTGGACTTCTTTTTTGATCCTCCCACCTCCATATCCCAAGTGCTGGGATGGCAGGTATGAGCCATCACGATGGGTTTATGCAGGGCTCAATAGGGAACCCAGGCTTCATGCATGCTGGGTAAGCATTCTACCAACTGAGTACATCCTCAGCTCCAAGTTTTTGGTTTTGAGAGAGCCAGGCAGGCCTGGAACTCCCTTTATAGTTCAGGTTAGTCTTCAACTCCTGATCGACCATGCAAGTGTTAGGATTAGATATGTACCACCAAGCTTGGCTTTTTAACTATTATTAAAAGAAATAAATTCAATGAATATAATGCATAGTGAACAGATAAGTGACAGTCATGAATACAAACCAAATCTAGAATTTAGTTACTAATAATATACTAATTAATTTTCTCTTTTCTTTCTTTTTGAGATAAGGTCTCTCTATGAAGCCTGGTCTGTCCTGGATCATGCCACGTAGACCAGACTGGCTTTGAACTCATAGAGACTGCCTGCTTCTGCCTCTTGAGTGTTGGCATCAAAAGTATGCACTACTACTCCCAACAATTCTGTTTTCTTGAATTTTACAAATGAAATAATAGTTTTGTATTTACTTTAAAATGTTTCCGATTTTGTTTTCTGAGACAGGGTCTGTTTCCTGGCTGGTTCAAACGCATGTGTTCAAGTGGTCCTCCTGCTTCAGTCTCCCAAAGTCATTGAACTAGAGACATAAGCCACACATGCACGCGCTGTGTGTGTGTGTGTGTGTGTGTGTGTGTGTGTGTGTGTGTGTGTGTGTGTCTATCACCCAGCTAACTAGAAAATTAAACATTAGGGGAGATTGGCTAGGGTATGTAAGAATCTTCTGTGCTGGCTATCTTATGTCAACTTGGCACAGCCTAGTCATTCGAGAAGAGGGAACCTACTTAACCGAGAAAATGCCCCCACCAGATTGGCTTGTGGGACATTTTTCTCAATTAGTGAGTGATATGAGAGTAGCCCAGTTGTGGGCAGTGGTCTTGGGGTGTGTAAGAAAGCAGGCTGAGCAAACCAGTAAGCAGCACCCCTCCCTGGCCTTCCCATCAGTTCCTGCCTTGAGTTCCTGCTTTAACTTCTCTGCATGATGAACTACCAACTACTAGCTGAAATAAACCTTTTCCTTGTCAAGTTGCTTTTAGTCATTGTGTTTTAGCACAGCAACAGAAACTGAGACACCTTCTATAGCATATCTGTAACTTATCTTTAAGTCTAAAACTAGAGAAAGAGAATTGTCTTAGAAAACTTAAAGTCACCATTTTCAGGAACTTCCCTAAAAATCAAAGTTTCTGTATATTTACCTAGAAAAAAAAACAAAGAATTAAGTAACAAACTCTCACTTCCATACTGAATATAATTAGGCTTAACAATTTTCAGAAGAAGCCCCAGAACGAGGAGGTGATCTTACCTCATCAGAGAGGTTGTCAACTCTATACAAACTGGGGTGTGTTGTGAGCATAAGGTGAACCAAGGGCTGGTTTTTCACTTGACACATGGCAAAAATTCGTTCATCTAGACGTGCATTCGTCCCAGTCTGGAAAGACTTCTGTAACAAAACAAAAACCATACCCCCAATATTAAAAAAAGACAGGATTTTGTAAATGTCAGTTGCTCAAAGATCTTCAGTCGGAATTAGCAAATTTATCATAAAATATCCCTTGAAAATATCTTTTAAGAAGTCATGTACTAAAGTGTTCCAATTGGTGGAAAGGAGTAGAGGCAGGGAACAATGAGCCAAATGTGAGCAGAAAGCCTCTCAAGGCAGGCTCAGGTGAACGGAGGCATCTGCTGACACACTCGGGAAAACACTGACAGCGCGGCTTTCCCCTCACTGCACCTGACTCAGACTGTCACACGTCACTCACTGATGAGTGTGTGCTTGGTGTTCGTCTGTGCTCCCTGTCCCAAAGAACCCAGACCAGCTTTTTATGCCCAGGGTAACTGTACTCGTGGGGCTGTCCACTAATCAGCACGGGTTGAAAGCTGGAGGCCTGGGTAACTGTAATAGAGGCTTTGCTAGTACAGCATGAGAAAGAGTTTAGTGAGTTACTTCATCTGTAAATATCAAGTAATAGGAATCTGAGAGATAGCTCAGTGGTTAAGAGCACTGGCTGGTCTTGCAGAAGACCCAGATTAGGTTCCCAGCACACATATCACAGCTCACAACTATCCATAACCGCTCCAGAAGATCTGTTATCTTCTGACCTCCATAGGCTCGAGGTATACATTACATGCAAGCAAAACACCCAGGCATATAAAATAAAACAAAGTATAAAATAAATAATCACTGCATATATAGTTACAGGTGAAATAATTCACTAAAATCTTTTTCACTTATTTAGTGTCTATTACATACTAGGTGCTGGGACTAGAGAATAAAAAAATACAAAGATCTTTGTGTTCACGGTTTACTTCCTATAAAAGGAGAAATAAAATCGGGTGTAACATCTTGGGAGGCAGAGGCAGGTGGACCTCTGAGTTCAAGGCCCGCCTGGTCTACAGAGTGAGTTCCAGGACACTGAGGGCTACACAGTGACACCCTGTCTCAACAACAAAAAAAGGAAAACCATGAATAAGCAAACTCTGCGGTCAGTGATAACGGGCATGGAAAAATTAGAGGGGTGAGGAACGAAGGGTGTCACGGAGCTGTGAGATGGGGGCTGACAGGGCTGCATGTCACACAGGTGAGCTGGGGGGGAATCAAGTGACATTACAGCAAAGGCCTTTGAGAGAAGAGCCGGGTTGTAAAGACTTCTGGGACTTCCAGAACCTCAGGCATGCCGGGCAAGCCCAGGCACTCCCACTCATGCTGTGCTCACCCAGGCCTCTCCTGTCTCACTGATAACACTGTCCGTCATCCCCCCC